ATCTTAGTGATTAATCAGAATGTAACAGATAATATAATCTAATTGTATTAATGAATGGTAGGTAAGTCATGGTGTCACTTGCTTTTCAAGCACTGAGAATTGCTTGGACAAAGAAATAGGAGGGGAATAAAGAGATATACAACTGAGATGATACTAAACATTACTTTCAAAGTACAACCAAGGGAGAGAAGTTTGAGAAACATGGACCTCCACAGGTTCCACTAAGGCAAAGAACAGGTCCAACTGGAGAGCATTACATTTCTATAGATACAGGTGGTTCTTGTATGCCTTTCACCATAGCTGATAACAAAGAAAGGAGAGAAGTGACTGCGGAGGATGAGATCCAGAGCAGAAGAACAAGTGGGCAAGAAGTCTTTCTAAAGACTTAGGCTCTTTTCAAAAATATTTTTTGCTGTACTATGTCAGGAAGTGTTTCTTAGTGGGAGCTGTCATTTCACTTACATTTGTTACATTATAGGAAATACATTTATACTGAATATCCTGCTGCAGAAAAGATGGAGATAAGGCATGGTAGGTTTTGTCATGTGATTAGGATAGGTTGTAAGTAAGGTATCGTGCCTTGTCCATGCTTTCAAAATAAAAATTAATAGCTATTCAAATGAAACCATATTCAAAGAAATCAAAATTTGCCCTCTTATTTAATGCAGAACAAGCTATTCCCCACCTTTTCCTTATAAACTATGACTTACTTGAAAACAGTTAATTGCTTGTGGAACAGATATGAAACTTTAACAACTGCCTCTGAGCCCTGTGTCTTATCTCGGAAGGTAGTTAATCTGCTGTGATTGCATTTGCTTGAACAGTGTAATCAAATGAAGGAACAACAACACAGATCCAGTTTCATTGTTTAGTGTTCAATATGTTAGACTGTAAAACAGATTCTGTACTAGTTCACTAAGTACCACCAAAGCTCCCCTTAATGCTATTAGTTAAAAGAAAATACCTCCATTCTTCTTATCTAGCTTCTAAAACTAGAATGATGATATTTTAGAACTAATTTACAAATAACCTGGTCAATAGCTATTTAACAAAACAGCTGTATCTAGGAAGTGGTTTCTATATACTTATATTCTAGCACTGGATGTGGACCTTTTTGAAACTGTTGATTATTTTTCAGGGTAAGTGTGGGCTTTTCCAAATTATTGTAATGTAACTAGTGCATTATATATAGCAACATGCAGTAATATGCTTTTACTCTGTTGGGGAAAACCATGTTTCCTTGTTTTCATCTTATCACTAAGTAATGTCATCCTCTATGATGGAGGCTTCCTTCATTACCTAACAGGAAATCCCTAAATCTGTGCCAAACATTGCGGTGAAAGCTTTTTAAAGGTTGTTACAAAGTCTGTGCACTTGTTAGCTTGCTGGATGTACAAAGAACTCTTGAGTACAAAATTAGAGGGGGAGCGGCAGATATGAAACTCTGAATTACTCCAAGCAATGACTGTTAGACTCTGAGAGATTAGTTTCCTGCAGATATGGTCCACCAATTCCCTGTTAAGAAAAATAGCTTGCTTTTGTGCTTTTCCAGTTTTCTACAAAGCTAAGTATTTATTCTTCCACAGAGACTGAAAGATACTGAAATGAGGAAAGGATAAGTAAGAGAAAGGAACGAATCAGATACACCACTTGGGAAAAAGGAAGGAAGAAATGAATGGTGGGAGGAAAATGGAAGAACAGTAAATTGGATGGGGGTGAGAAGAAACTGAGTAAGGTGAAAATGGTGAGAAAATAAATTACTTCATCAGTCAGGCAATATTTAAAGTGCAACAAGAACAGCATAAATTGGGTAAATGAACTGTTGCTTCAACTCTCAAGCTCTCACAGAATGCTACTTAAATAATCCAGAGTATAATTTTTTGAGGCCATTTTACTGTTAATTTCTTCCAATTATACTCACAATTTCTTTTCGACAGGACTCCAACCCTTAGGATGACATCTTCTCAATTGGTAGATTGGTATGTGCAATACTATATAAAGTGATTCTTCTCTTCATATACTCGGGAAAGAACACAACACCCTCCAGTGCCTATCGCTATGGGATTTAACACGTGTGTTCAGGGGTGACTGAAGCTCTTATGACTGAGAACTCATCTGAGAGTTTTTGCTTTTACCAGAGTATGCTTTAGTCCAGTTCAGTGGACTATAGCCAGACCTCTAGGGTTTGAGCGCTGTAAATTATTCACTTGTTTAGCAAGGATCTGTGTTAGTCAGTGAAATGAGCATATCAATATTTACTTTCCTAACCAACAAAGGGGCTGTTAAAGCTAACCATGCCTTAATCTACCACACACACAACATTAAAATCAATACATCTTAGCATGTGCTTTAGTTTTAGTTACCATAACCTTCATGTCCTTATCAGGTTTGATAGAAGTTAAGTGATACCAGTTATATTAAGTTATCACACTGGTTCTTACAGACTTTCTGCAATCTTATTTTACAGCTTTTTGTCTATAAACACTTCTGGAAACTTGCCCAGTTTTCAGAAACTAGTTCTATTAATAGAATTTGCTTTAGAAGTGAATTTAGCTCATTTATTTCCAGTTAGAGCTCACACTCGGTTTTTAACCTGCCTTACAAGGAAACAACAACTTCTAGGCACAAACAGAAGGAAAAGAAAGGGACCAAAGGGATAAAACAGAGGAAAGCAAACTAGTAGTGGGGCCTGAAGTTACTCCTTTAGAGTGAGGAGGAAAGTAATATGGTCAGCATTCGTGTTAAATTTTGGAGGTCTCAAATGTCTGCTGTTTGCTTTTAAAAACGTTTCATAGAGAATTTTAGAATTTTTTTTTTTTTTTTCAGAAAACTATCTTAGAATTTTTTCACCCTTCAGGGGTGGTGGGAATGAGAGATACTTCCATTCTGTTTCTATGCTACTCATTAATAGGGATATATATCTTTTGGTGAGCAGAGCCTGGGAGGGACATTTTTCGTCTGCCTTGGACATGCAAAGGCCATTCTTGCTCTGGAAGAGCAGCTGTACTAAGGCAAGAATGACCTTTGAACAGAAGATTCAGTGCTATGACAAACATGCTTTACAGATTTGCAATCACATAAATGTTGTGCCAGAACCATTAGCAAGATCAACATATTTGGTGTCAGTAGATACTCCTTAAAAAATACATTCGATTTGACTTATTAATCTTATCACAGCCCTTGCAGCTTTTATTCCTTCTGTCTAAAGAATAAGAAAAAATCTGTGATAAAACATTCCTGTAATGGAACAGCCTTTTATTGTCCTGATACAACAGATAAAATTATTTGGCTTTTTATTTAGCTATAGAGAAAGGTAGCAAGATGGTATAGTCATTGTATTTCTTTATTTCCCACATCATTAATTTCTGGTGCTAGTTACCGCTTTACTAAAAAATTTCTAAATAGTTGTCCCTTAGCAAAAGACAGTTCAATTAGATATTTTTCCAGTAATTTTGCTGATGCAATCCTGAAAAAGCTCTGAATATCTGTATTCTTTTACAACATTTTTGAAGTAAACATATTTTTAGGTGAGAAGCTTCATGCAAAAATATTGAAAAGGACCTATCAAGAGACTTATTTTGACATTTCTTTTCATGCAAAAAAGTCAGAATTTATGCTTTTGATATCGCTTGAAGATATAATATCAGTTTTTGCACAGGCAAGATTATCCTTTCTCTGACTAGCTCTACTGTTAATGTTCATGTAGATTACTTTTAGGAAGTAAGCTTCCTACACACCACTAATCATTTTTCAGATCCATTAGTCTGTGATGTATTATTAATTTCAAGCATTACTGATTAAGGCTGTAAGTAGATTTATTTCTGCTGCCAGAGAGTAAAGGACTGGCACCTCTTGTTACTGTTGCTAGACGAATGGTATGTTACTCCTTACTTTAGGCAGTTCCTTGCTATGTTTCCTTCCCTTCCTCTGCCCTTGGCTGTGCCACTGTACTGTTGTTCTCCCCATTACTGTGTTTTTCTAATACTCAGTTAAATGTTAGGTGCTTTCCACCCACTTTCTATGTAAGAGGAATTTGCACTAAACTTTGGAAAGTATAAGGTAGTACAAAAATGGAAAACTCGTGCATGTGCAGCAGTGTTTCTTCAAAATTGACAGGGTGATGTTTCACGTTCATTGTCCCTTCCAGAGCCTGACTCTGCCACTGGCCATACGCTGCTCTGTCCCTGGCTGCTGCTGCTCTACAGGGACCACAGTCTGCTGCTGACACTGTGGAGGCTCCTCAGTCACTGCAACAGCTCCTTATCCCACCCTTCCAGGTTCCAGATTCTTTGCAGTGCTCAGGTATGTGGGATTACTCCGTACTGGATTTCACACATTTCATTTGGGGCAGTACGGTGCACTCTGGACTTGTGACCAAGCCTCATACAACCAGATCCAGCTCTTCAATCTCTTGAATTTCAAAGGCTACAAACTCAAGCTCCTTTTAGCTTTTTAACTAGTAATTTATACATTGTACAAGTTCCTCTAGCTGTCATCTCCTATTCTGCACTTTTGAATTACTTTATATGATGAATACATACACTTCAGTCATCAGCACCTCTATTCAGTATAGACGATTTATCTTTGGTTATTCTCTGCGTGCTATTCTGCAGATGTCTGATAGCTTATGTCTTTGGTAGACCACAGATATTTTGCTCATTAATACAGTATTTAGCTCACCACCTGCATTTATAAGTACCTCATTATTTTTGTTGCACAGCTATAATAATTAGACTTCATACTAGGCTGTCAGCACTGATAATCAACACCATATTTAAAGGCCAGTTTTTAAGTATTTAAATGGTATTTTGGGGAAATCTTACTCAATACCAGGTTATCAAATGTCTATAAGATATAGTCACCTAAATTAATTCTCAAAAATGAGAATGTGCCACCTTCATCAGCTGTGGGACAGAGCAATGCAAAGATCACATGCCTATGTAAATCAAGGTTTGGAACTTTGATATAAAAGATTTATAGAATAGAAGTTTTAAATGTACCTGGTTTCACACGTCTGGGTGGTGATTTTCTGTTAGAGCTTGTCACCTAATAGCCATTATTTTTCTGCAAGGAGACTGAGAACCAAGCACTCTGTATGAAGTGGAGCATCAAGTTCCTCAGGTGGGGCCAGGTTGTTAAAAAGGTTTTCTTGGTAATGACTGCGAAGGAAGAAGATTTAAATTAATTTAAATAAACTGATAATGACATTTTTTTGCCATTTGCTGTATTTCTCCCATAGCTATATCCTGAGGGTAGACTCAACTGAGCTAACCTTAGCAAGAGTTTTATATCTTGTTTCTGCTAGTCATCCCTGCCCTGTCTGTAGTATGGGGACAGACAGGCAGCCCTAGGGGGTGGCTTGTTCTGGCTAATCTGGACTACCTCAGAATGGGATGAGTCACTTGATGGAGGCCTTTAAAGAGGTCACACAGCTAGTTCAGAAGAGGCCTAAATTTTCACTAAGTTTTCAATGGGTGAGCCTGTTTAAGATGAATTCCCACTTTTCTAAGATCTACATTATCTTTGCATAAAAATTTCCTGTCAGTCATAAGAATTTTATTCCTTATAATTCTTTTTACAATGTCAGGAAGCTGTTACAGGAGCCCTAGGAGATGTCCAAATGTTTCGGTCATTTATCCTTAATATAGATACAGATTCTTTTGGCCTAAGAGCTGACTTTTCTGGAAATTCCAGTGCATATGTAGCCTTGTAGCCCACACAAATGTTTCTCACCAAGAACAAGGACCACTAATCACTGGCTCCATTGTGTAAGCCCAATACTTAGTGGTTCTATCCTGTAAGACTGATATGATCCAGGACTTCACCACTGAAGAGGAGATAAAAGATTGATAAGAGATGAGCATCTTTCCTCCCAAGTTGGTGCCATAGGCCAGATGGTTACCCAAGAAGCATGAAGTCAGCAAAAATCTGTGGTAACTTTGGGAACTCTTCCCCCTCTCCCCATCCCATTCCCCCTCCCCCCAACACACACACCTGTAATACATACACCAATGGAATGGTGATTACGGAACAATGAGTGTAAACTTAGACAGGTTTTTACTAATCTTGTAATAGGGTAAACAGGCTGTAGTTCCTTTGTGTAGTGTGCTGGCTGTGTGGAATTACCACATAGCACCTATCTTTGCACAACTGTGGAATAAACTGATAGCTCTGTATGTGAGATTGGCTTTTGCACACCAGGTAACGAACCCTGTTTGAGGGACGTTATTCTCCATTGTATCAGATATCAGCATTTAAGATTTCCTCTCCCATGGAGTAAGACAGACAGAAATGAAGCCATGTCAAAGCTCCATATGATCTAGGTAAATGCTTAAAACTGAATGAGTCATGTTTGGCAGACAATATTTAATCACAATAGAGGTCAGTTATGTCAAAAGGACATAATTGATTTAATTTGCAGAAGGCTTCAGATTTGCTGACAATAATAGAAAAGTAAAATAGGACAGAGGAAAAAATCTTCACATCTGACCACAACTTCAAACATTGAAAAAGCACTGTCTTGTGTAATATGTATTACTTTCCCTGTTGCTTTTCTTTTGTTTAATACAAACTGTTTAACATACTGTGAAGAAATAAGCCATCATCTAGGTTTGGTGAGAAGTTGCCCAAGTCATGTCGAAACCTCTCTAGTATTATTCCAAATTTGTACTTAGAGTGCCACCATTTTCTCAAAACATACTTTACCTGGAGACCACTTCAGTTTCAACACAGTACTCTGCTTCTGAAATCAGTAAAAGGGAAATGAGTAATTCATGTTATAGCTGACAAATAGTGTTCTTTACTCTGATTTGCTGAAAAAGGACAGAAGAAATGTCAGCTTTTCTGTACCTGCTTTTTGTACTAACAATTGATGTTTAGGGAAAGCTGTAAATGGTTCAAGCCTTTGGCAAAACATGTCAAACATCTGTTGATTAAAAAAAAAAACAAAAAAACAAAACAACAACCCTTTGGTAGAATTCTAGATATTGCAGTCTAGCCTGGAGAAAGGCTTCTGCCTTAACCCTCCAATGCAGAAAAGTTTCTAAATAGTTGGACTACTGTGTAATTGAAGACCTGTGAAGAAAGCAAAAATAAAGAGGGAACTTGGCTTCTTTGTCCCGTTCAATCAAGACAAAAGCCTCAGCCGCTGAAGAGAATAAATAGTTCAGAGAAGGATGAAAGGCTTGGGAAGGTAATCACCACTTTCTTTCGAAGCCAAGGTTGCGTGGACCTAGCTGGGAGAAGTCCAAGCTGCCAGGCTGACATGCTTCTCACCTGCAAGAGGACAACCTGCCTGAAATTCAGGCTCAGTTTGACAGTGAACACAGTTTAAGTGCTCATCTGCACATAAATTGTCACAAGAATAATTAATTATACTGCTCTTTACATCACTTGCTATGCAAGTGCAATATGTGGATACTTACTCTTTTTGTCTTAAAATAGTAAAACTTAAATGAATATAATGATCTAATTATTGTCTTGTCTTTATCTAAAGAGGGACACCCATGCTTCCAAGAACATTTGCACAGTGCATCAGTTGGCAAAAAGCTTCATTTAAATTAGACATGGTTATTTTGATAAAAGTCATGTAAATGAGCCCCATATGTCCTGAAAGCACACAGAATTTTCATGGCTATTTCCTTAGCATTGTAGGAGTTTCCTTGGGCAGCCAACAAAATTCTTCTTCTTCCAGAATAATACACCACAGCCAAAGTAAACACATACATTTGTGTTAACATCAACCAAGTAAGTTTCTAGTACAACTGCTTAGTAGTAAAAACTAAAAAAAAATACATGTATATGTATTTCTTTATATAGAAGAGGAGAAGAATTTCTGTTGACTCTATAACATCAGTAAAGACACTACTCAGAATATTCTCAGAGAAATTTTCAAAGAGCATTTATTTTAACTAGTGAAATCTTATGTCTGTCAGATGGACAAAATTGATGAATTTAAAATCGGATTTTTTAAGAGGTACGGGGAGAAAAAATTGCTTCCATTGTGATTTCTCAAGTACTAGAACAGGAAAACAACTTGCAAATGGCTGGACAGAGAAAATAACCTACTTAATTTGATTTTTAGTATATTCTTATTTCAACAGAGGAGGTATTAGTATACAGGAATATTCTGGGAAAAATATACTTTGGTTATGATTTACTTATGTCTACAAAGTCAACAAGTCATAATCAAATCTTATCAAATTCTTAGCTGTATTATTCCAAAATTATTAAAGGAGTTTGTAGTCTGTGAATGACTATTCACATGGCTAACTCGTTGTGTCAGCATTTACATTTGTGTAAGAATCTTTGTGATAGGAGGGAGATTTTTCAGACTTTCATCTTCCTAAGATACATTATTTCCCCCTGAAGCTGCATTCTCAGCTCATCAGATTGTGGAACTGTTGTTTTCATATTAACCATGTTAGACTTTTTGACCCCTGCTATGTTCCTACTGCTGTTCTGGCTAATAGACCCTGGTCAACAAGGAAGAATTCACTTTCCTTCCTACAGTCAGAGTCACAGAATAGCTGAGGTTAGACAGAGCTGCTTTAGATCATCTAGTTCACCCCCTGGCTCAGGCAAGGGCAGCTACAGCAGCTTGCTCAAGACTGTCCAGTTGGGTTTTGAATATCTCTGATGATGGAGGTTCTGTAACTTCTCTAGGCAACTTGTCCCAGTGTTCAACCACCTTCACAGTAAAACAGTGTTTTCTTGTTCAGATGCAAATTACTGGTTTTAAATTTGTGCCCTTTGCCTCTTGTCCTATCTCATTCTTAAAGCAGAAAGTCCAAAGCAAGATTTTCTTTGCACGACATTTATATTGATAATGACTTTATCTCAATAGCAGCTGCACTAAACAATCAAATGTCTTCAACCAAGTTAATACTAGTTCTTCAGAAGCATTAGGTTAATGTAGTTTTATAATAATGTGACTATCAACACAAATATTCAGGTGAAGTCTCGTGGGAGAATAGCATATTTATTCAGACATATGGTAAAGGTATCTGTTCCTTTGACTTCCAGAACCAGCTAGAAATTGAATTACAGACTTTTTTTGGTACTCAGCCCTGCCCAGTCACTAGTATGTCACAGGGAAAATCTTTTATAACACTTATTTTTCAAACATATTTATAGCTAGGAAAAATAAAAAACTTTGTTAAAAGAGCAGTTTTATGCCACAGTCATTGTTACATTTCATAATGTAAATTGCTAACAAGAGTACTGATATTTGAAGTCCTTTTGACAATACAGAGGCAGTGTGATCAAGGGAAACTGCTGAGTTTCATCTTAGTTCATACATCATTATAAAAGTTGGTAGCTGCATGTGACTGAAAACAGTTATTCCTAGGGAAAGGGTAGAAATCTTAAATAATCCAGATTAGTTGCTGAATTCCAGATACAATTTGTAAAACTCAACTGAAATGAAGTACGTGGGTATTTGTAAAACCCAGAACTGATGACAGACAGCAAAATGTACCATCACTGGGATATGGATTATTTGTCATTCCATAGTAAAGATGGAATTCTCCTCTTTCAAAAATTTTGTCCCAGTCTCCTGAAGTCCTGCTTTCCAGTTCCTAATTCTTTTGTTGAAATTCAAACATTTATTCATATAGAGGGCCAAATGGTTTGAGCTTTACCCTCTTTGTCATATACATTGCCTACTATTGTATTTAATGTCCTTCTACATTCAAAGTTCAATGGAGAAACAATTAATTACGACATTGGAAAATCAGCTTCAAATTATGTCAGTAGGCTGGATTACAGCTGTTCCTCTCCCCTGTTTCTCCACATGACACACCCTTTGTTTTTGACAGTACTGTGTTTTATGTCTCTGGTGTGGTTTCGTGACTTTTGGGGAGGGATGCTGCAAAGTCAGGAAAACATGCCATTTTTTCTGTCAGTATTTGCTGTAACTGTTATGGTGCAAAGATAGGCTGTGCAAGCTTTGTAGGTAAAAATCCTTCATTAGATGAACTGGTATAGTTGGAAAAAATAGGTAGTTTTCAGACACACAAAAAATAATGTGTGGTAACAAGTTGGCAGGGCAGGTAAAAGCAGCAGCTTTCAAAACTAAAACCAAATTGCAAGTAATTCCTCAGAGTTCAGTTAGATAAATACCCTGCACAAAAGACCATCAGCATCTTTGAGTCCTACA